CCACAATCGCTCCCGGTAATGAGTTGGGGGTCTGAGGGGGTAATTAACTTAATGTTTCTTCGTGCCGAAACGAGGATGTGCGTACGGGCTTGAGTGAGGGAATTCATTGATGGTGCTAAACTATTACATAATACACCAGGGCCATTGAGGCAGATATAAATTATAAGATCGCAAGGGAGTCGATAATTTGTATAATTGGAGGATTGTGAGACAATAGTCGGACAGAGGATAGCCAGTGACCACTGCCTTGATTAAAGTCCCTTTCCATAATGCAATTAAGCCATGTGATTATCAATCGCATTACTGCATTTACCACTAAATTATTTATGGCACTGTATGAGAAATCACACGGCATTCTCCTATTCCATATCGAGTTATCTCGTCCTTAGAGCAACCCAGCACCCCAGCACCCCGAAAGCTCCATACTTGTCTACTAATTGGGATGAATTCTCCTCGTATAATCCCCAAGAGTGAATTGTCAGAAGGGATTTAAACGTGCCTCAAGTCATCCGTGAGAGGTGTCAAGAAAGAGATGTGAATTTATTCGACAATGCATAATTTAACTTCTTGAGAGGGTTTACTCCAAAGGGGTAAATTGAAAATTCAAACACAGCCACAATAAACCGCTTGAAACCCCATTTTGGAAACAATTAAAAAGTCGACAATCATTTGGCGAAATAATTTACGTAGAGCGTATTTGTTCTTCAAACATTGGACCCCTTGTTTGCTCCTCTGTCTGCCAGATAGACGTCCCTCTTGGTTACCAGATTATGTCGCTGCTCATCTCCCATGTGGTCGTAGCACTACCAGACATTTTTTGCATTTTGATACACAACAACAATTCCTCGTGAGCTCTCTCAGTTGTGTAATTAATCTCTTTATTTAGTCAGATTTGTTCGCTCCATTTTAATTGCAAATTTTGCTCATGGCAAAGGGCTTTTCTTATCTCGTACTTTTGCTCCACGAGAGTTTGTCAATTTGCTTACATTTTACGTATAATACGAGAGGAATTAAAATAAATATATAATGTTGTTCTTAATTCGGTTTTCCAATGAAATTCATGATGAATTCATTGCGACACAAACAAAAATGACCAATGAAGTGTGAGATGGCAAATCTTTAGAAATCATCTACTAAATACAAGATTTAGAAAGGAATTTACAAGACAAATTCTGAAATGAATGGATATGTGAAAAGATTGACGATAATGCACATAAAAGCATTAATATACTGAGATATTATTTAGTCAATATAATTCTCTTAATACTAATCTGATGACCTAGAAAGGCTTCTGCAAACGCAAATCTCGGGAAAGTCGCATTGACAATTTATTGTTTGAATAAAATATATCAAGTAATTTCCTCCACTCAAAGTGAAATGAAAATCGAGTGAAAATTGTCAGCAGAGAGAAAAGTTGCATATAAATCAAATATAATTGAAGATGAAGTTGCTCTCGGACTCGTTGGGGTTGTTAATTATTTCCTTAGCATTATCATTATGAGAAATAGATTCAATTTTGATGGGGATTTTCAAGGCGAGGATAAACTGAATGATTGTCGTTGCGACAATAAATAAAAGTGACATGGGATATATATGTCTAATACCCAGGAATGGTTGTGAATCATTGTTTGGTTGGAATGAGAAACGTGAAACATGAGGAACAAATTGTTTCGCACACATAACTCATCATCTTATTTCACTCATGCTCTCAATTTATCTCGCGTTCATTGCAACCTCCACTCATACTCATCATTTGCTGGGTCTTTTTATCTCCTTGAAAATGCTTTAATATTGCTCAACAGTACACCATGTATCTCGTTTCTTGCTCGTCCCTTAGCACAGGAACAGTCATACTGCTCACCAGCGAATAATCACACAAAAAGTGTATATTGTATCAGCCCGAGAAATTGACTCAAGATGATTTGTGGATTTCATTTCCGCTTTCCTCTTTTTTTCTCACTCTCTCTCTCTCCCTCTCGCACGCTCGCAAGCGCACGGCTCCGCTATGTGGATTTATGTATCTGTCCGAACGCCATCGTACTAAGTATTGTGGGGAAAATTAAAAAAAGGAGAGAGCAAGAGCAAAAAGAGAAAGGAGGAAAAATTGGCGAAATGAAATACGGAAAAATTTTGTATTGTGAGACACTAACAAATTATAATTTCCAAACGTGAGCGGAAATGTTGAACGAGTCTGATCCAAGTTTTCACTGATACGAATTATTTTTCTCCAAAAACTTTTTCCGCATTAACACATAAAAATGCCAAAGACGTATTATTAGGTAATGACTGTAGGGGAGATTGGAGCACTTCTATCTGATTACTTGCAATTTATTAAATTTAGGCCCATTTTCAAAGATCTTTTCCAAGTCAAAATTTATGAGGAATCGTAAGAAATAGACCAAGAATTGGCTTTGACTCCTTTCTGTTTCTTAGCTCAGATTTAGAACAATAAACAGTGTGATTATAGCGAGCATCTTCTGCCCCACACTTCTCTATATGTTCGCAAATATTATGATTAGGAAACTTGATACGCATTAACTCCATGGAGACTAATCAGGAATTTAAAAACCTCTGGGCGCTGTTGATAAGGCAGAATGGAATTGTGCTTTGGTAGTTTATATTTATAGTGACCATTTATCTTGAGCAAGAAGTGCTGAGTTGAATGGCAACTGCAATGGCAAGACTCTCAACTTCCACGTGTTTATGTAACTGTCGTTATACATTATTCAATAATAAAATCAACAATAAGGAGCTTTAGGGTGAGGAGGGTTCTTTTAAAAGTCAGTCGACCAAGCAGCCATTTCACACCTAAACATTCTCTTAAGTATTTCACCCACATTTCGGACTTTAGAATAACCTCCAGCCACTTGGAGGGAAATATAGAGAGAATATGTGTAGCTTATTTGAGTCTGACATTTCATCGGCTTACAATGATATTTCTTCTCTTTCGCAATATTTCTTTCTCTGGTAAGCTCGGAATCGTGGGATAAGTGGGTGACGTATGGGGCGGCACAACTAAGTAGCCCCAAGAGCTATGAAATTCCTATACAATTCATATAGCCGGCCTATGTGAGTGGAATACACAAAAAGTTTCTCCCAATGAAAGGAAAGCCCCATGCCCCACGACACGGGGTGCGGGAATAGCGAAGGGAAGCGTGGTGAGAGGGTGGAGTGCAAAAAAAATCGAATACACACCAAAATAAAATTCCAAAAGTCCAAAAAGTTTATATCCTTTTGAAATTTGTTTTCTTTCCCATTCCCGGCACTCTTTTCCGCTGTTTCCTTTTTTGTTCCTGTCCTCCACCTTGGAATATGTATGTACGACGTGTATTGTAATCTAACTTTTGATACGGGTATGGATAGGTGAGTGGGCAGCAACATAATTAGCGCAACATTCTTCTCATCGTCCACCTCCACCAGCCCAACACACACACACACACACACACACACACACACACACATGACTGTACATGGTATAAATGGAAGCATGACAAAAAGTTTCATAATAACACAAGAAATAACTTCCGTCCATTGTGAAACACACCTGGCAGCCTTCTCGCTATAATTAATATAATTAAATGTGTTATATTCTTCATCATGAGTTTTGATGTAAGTTCGGGTGTTTGTGCTCCACTGTATCCTTTTTCTGTCACTCTCCTTGGAGGTAAATGATGTGATACAATAGGATCATGTCAACTCTCGGTGTAATAAATAACGGATAAGAATAATACGCGCCATATAACCCTCCAACACTGCTTTCAAATCCCTTTTCCCACCCCCCGTAGACACGGTGATCGTTGTAGGGCCTGCACTTAATCTCTCACACATAAGACTGAATGCTGGGAAGTCAGTCGCTGCGCAGCCCCACACTTGCCCTTGTGTGATCTCCTCCGATATGCACCCATTGAATATTTGCTGTGTTTTTGAGATGACGAGATGACGTTGCCCACCACATCACTCGATTCCAGACCATGCCAAACCGCACAGATAGAGGTGCGCCACATAATACAGGAAACAGCATAGGGACGGAGTGATGGGATAGTCAAGCATCGTTTGCACATATCACAATGTTTTGCTAATAAAAGCAAGTAAACTGAGGACGAGACCAAAACAGGGAGGAGGCTACAAAAGAGCAGCATAAAGCACGATTGCCACTTCCAGATTTCTAAACATGAGAAACTACTACTCACATTGTTAAATATATACATGAGCAGCCTCGCAAAAGGAGAGTCAAGAGGGTCAACCTTGGCCAACATTGATACCTTCACACACTGACCATGCACAAAATTCCGAGCATACGCTCCAGCGGCAGAGACACATTTCAGACGTGCTCAAACATTCTGCTTTTATATTAAAATATACTCATCACTAATGGAGGTGATTTTGCTAACAACGCTACACTGTTCCCATGAATTCTCAAACCTACATAGCAAGCTCCAGAAACTCAGTGAGTCTTAAATTTCTGGAACTCTAGTTTGGTGGTTTAAAATCGTTTCAAGTTCAAAGTTTCCGATTTTTTCAGCGATTAGATATTCTTATTTGGCAAAGTCTTATCATGTTTTATCTAACATTTGTGACAAGTGGCTAAATTTGTGGAATTTGAGGTTTCCGTTCAAAAATTCATTTCAGACACCGAATATGATTTATAAGTTTTCATTGAAAACACTGATCAATCAATTAAACTCATTTTCATGCGATTATCTATTTCTTAGAGTGCAAGTGAAAGAAACAAAATATACGTGGAACTCATGACGGTGTTTTTCAGCGAAATCAACACAATAACAACTATATTGCCCCGTAATCTTATTATCGCATTTCTTATCATAAGGTGGGGAAGATTTTGAATCACTGTTGCCATTGCTATTTTTTCATCTTTAGGCCTAATAAAGTTTAAATCACCTCTTAAATGTGTCTGATTCACTTCCGAGTTCACAATCAGGAACTGATAAGGCGCTGTTTGTGTTATAAATACACACCAAAAGCTCAAATTTGTCATTGATTTAGTGAATTTTCAAGTGCAAAGTTGTGAACTCTCTTTTCCCTGTGATAATGGCTTCGGGATTTTCTAATTTCCAAATTGAGTGTCTAAATGCACACAATGATCGTCGCGCTGCTCACGGATCATCGCCACTCACGCTGAATGGCGATTTGTGCCGATATGCTCAAGAGTGGGCCAATCACTTAGCCGCCAAGGGTCAAATGTTCCACCGAACAAACTCACCGTATGGGGAGAACATTTATTTCTCCTACGGAATGACAGTGACGGGAAAGACCGCCGTGGATTCGTGGTATTCCGAGATTAAATCACACGTATTTCACCGTGAGCCTGCGAGTTTAGCCGCAGGACATTTCACTCAAGTCGTGTGGACAGGCAGCCGTCAATTGGGCGTTGGAGTGGCGACCGTTTCCGGGAAAACTTTCGTCGTGGCAAATTATGATCCACCAGGAAATTTCATCGGAAAATTCGCCCAAAGTGTACCACCGCTGAAACTTTAATTAGAGCTAATTATATATAGTTTAAACATGGAAGAGATTTTCCAAAATGTGATTTTCAATAAATTATTACTGCATCCTAAAGTGTCGAGATTCAATAGAGAGTGCATCGTTCCCCAAAGTGAAGGAGTTGATTAAGACATGAAAATCGGATTCTGTGGCACTCAAAAGCAAGATTTATCAAATTTCAGACAACCAGTTGAGGAATATCCTTGGTGAATACTTGCAAGAGTGTTGGAAATACAAACAGGACGAGCAGTATACTGAATTGGAAGTGAACACATACATAGTAGTGAATATTGAACTAATGAATACACAAAGAAATCACGAAAATGTGGATTTAGCACAATTTCTCCTTACTTCTGCATGCCTTCTGAAAACACCTTGCCAGGCTGAGGCTTTACGCTTGAGCAGTGCAATTAATTCATATGATATTTCTACAAATGAAGAAATCATGTTGAATAATTCAATCAATTGAGCACTCAAGAAAGCAATGACTTAATATGAAACTTGTGCCAAAAACTCCTCCTTCTATGTCGTTTCGGGTGATTTGATAATTGCAGCACATTTTCTCTCTCAGCTTTGCGTGCAAGAAAGTGTGGGCAAATCCGAATCCTCTGCAAACCCCCTTTTCGAATTTAATATCAATTACTGTGAAAGCTTGTGAATTTACATTCTTCAAATCCAATACGTTATTTTCACTGCGTAATCCATTCGTACTTTCGCCCTTCTTCTCTTTCTCTCTTTTGCAATCATCCTCTTTACGAGATGCGTGTGAAATCGCAGATAATGATGAAAATTGAAAGATTTACCCAGCATTCAATTTGCTTTAAAGGTAGAGTGATTGATTTTTTCCCAGCAAAATGGTCGGAGTTTTCGGGGTGGATTTCAGTCTAACTCCCCAAACATCTTGTCAATTAGAATGATTTTAGTGAAAGTTTTACGAACAACTGACAAAAGTGGACCGAATTAAATTCTGGTAATTGTTTCTCCATGTTCCGTCCAATCAACACTATTTTAGTCGGCGGTTTCACTACATTCTCACCAACACCCGCACTCTCTCCCACCCACAATGTCCTGACGAATGCGAATTTTCCGGAATTGGGCGAGAAAGTGAGTAAAATACCAATGACAATCGATTTGTTTTGCTTTGCCTCTTTTCCCTCTTTTTTTTCATAATAACAGGAAAAAAAGAACAGATTGCCACCTCGTACGTGCAAGAATGCGAATTGGTTCCAATTGCCATGAAATTTCTGTCGAAGAGAAAGGAATGGATTAAAAGGAATTTATGTGAGATTATCTCGTGCACGAATGTATTTTTCCCTCCGGTTTCTCCACGTTGAGGTGAAAGAATAAAATTCAATTGATTATTCTGCCCAATTTCAATTTTCTATTGATATTGGTGTATTTTGGCAATTGCGCACGAAAAGACTGCAGATTGTCTGCCGAGATGGAAAAGCTAATGGATTGCTTTAAAGTTGTGCGCGCCAGATCTAAAGCACTGTCTGCTCATTTAGACGACGTTCATTTCACTTTTCCCACCACTTTTCTCCCATATACACCATGTCTTTGGCGTATTCCTTAGACCCCTTAGACATACTACTTCACTCGAGAGACAATTTAAAACATGTGTAAACTTTTTTCTGCCTCCCTCCTCGCACATCCCCGAAAGTGTGTGTGTGAAATACCGAGCACTATATGAGTGTAATTTGTAGGATGGTAAAACAAAAGTTTTCCCTGTCGTATTACAAAAGATATACAGGCTATGTATTGTTGTGCAGTTTGCAATAAAATACCCAGAGACCTCAGACTTTGAACCTCGCAGTCGTTGCTGAGAAAGACGCAACTTTGGCTCTTCTCTCTCTCTATGCTTTACACGGATTATCAAGGAGGTTTTATGGTTTCCTTTAACAAATAAAATACACTATTTGTATCCCTTTCCACAACTATTTCACTCCATCTCACTTTACGTCGATATTTCCGTGAAATGTAATTAAAACACTGGGTGCTTTCGAAGGAAATCATTTGGAGAAAAAGAGCAAAAGTGCTGAGGTAAAAGTTTATCTCTTATCTAATTAAGAGAAAAAAAACTTCACTATAAATTTATTTCGGCTAAAGTTTCTGGTAACACTGAAGAATTTAGCTCCTTCTAACTTCTCAACCATCGCGATCTTAACGTCGATTCGAGTCTCAGTGGAAAAACACGTTTCTTTTGACTTTATTTCTATCCTGAAATATAACCGCACGGCGATTCTCATATTTTCCCGACTTCCTCAGGAAAAACGACCCCAATTTTTTTCCATTCGTGAACAAAAGGACAGCCTAAGAGCGGCAGTGAAGTGTACCTCTCTAATGACTTTAATTTGACTTTTTCCTCGTGATGTCGTGTGATACAGGGAAAAGGATTGAATAATCACACAGTCATAGATCGAAGTCGAGGGGAGCGCAAATGGGCGCCCTTATTCGCACATAAATCACGCGTATACACGATGCCATTGTGGGGTCCCGTGGAGATATTTCGAGTCGCAGCCAACAACCACCACATCAGGATCGTAATTTGCGAGTGTAACCTATCTTGCTTAGGGCTCCACGAGCATTTGATTGAATGACATACCACATTTTCGAGCAATTAAATTCACTGTGGATAATTATTTGTCCGTTCCCGAGAGTTCATTCCCTTTCATTTTGGCATAAGCTTTGCTGACACAACATTAAATATATCCACCTCTTCACATGCGAAGTACTTTCCTAAAATTTAACTGCGCCCTTCCATTGTAATTGCTCCATGAGCGATGCTTCACTACTTTTGTGCTAATACATGATTTGCCATCAAGCGAGACAGGATGTTCTCTGAAGATAGTTTATTGCCCCGGCTAGCATTTATCAACAGTCAGGCTTGAAGCCTTTTAAGAGGCTATTAGCATTGTGGTTTATCTTTTAGTTATGAGAGCCCTGATGAGATAACTATTTATAAAACAATTAATCATTATCTTTTCTGCTTTCAGCACAATTTTCCTTTTGCAATGCTAATAAGACAACTCATCATAAAATTTGCCTACACACTTGGTGGAATTCTTGTTTGCATACTCGCGGCGTCTGGAAAGATAAATTTGAGAAAATGTCAGTATCATTAGAGCAAACATTAACCCCAAGAAAATGTGTTTCGTCATGTTTTTCATTCTCTCTCCCTCCATTGAATTAATATTATATTTAGAGTCGAAATTAAGTAATAGAAATCCAATCTTTTGATACGCCGCAATGTCAACCCTATATTGATAATGAAATGGCTGTAAGAAGTGTGGGAAAAAAGAGGATCAATGATGCCTGTATGTCAAAGACATAATAAGTTTAATCAGATCCATCACCAGCATATGTCTTCCTCCGATAACAGTCGAGAACCTTTAATCTTTCGCCACATGTCTCCCATTTAGCACCCATAAAAGCATACATATGAGAGCAGAGATAACCGCGAATTACTTTAATGTGGTCGAATCACACCGAGTTTAATTTATATTAAGTTGAGTGTTATCTGGCGACGACAGGCGGTTGTATTCCTAGCCACTCTTCCAACTTTCCTCATTCACAAATCCCAGAAATCGAATCCTGCCATCGCATATCCACAATTTCGTCCCCTCACGGCGTCTCACGGATGCCCAAATCTTTTCTCTCTACTTCACCACCTTTTTTCACCCCTGCCAGACCGCCTTTCAATACTATTAGCCCCTTCTCATCTTCACGAAAGCCACTCCAGTGCCGAACCATTTGACACTGATGATGGGATTCAAGTGGATATCAATGTGTGTAATTTTGACGAAATGTCATCGACACAAGAGAAAGGGTTGAATTTCATCTGTTCTTGGGTAACTGTTTGGAAGAAATAGGGGTTATCCGCACATCATCAGACTAACTTCACTGAACATCATCCCCTCCAAGGAGCCAGCACAATGTCACTGCGTCGGATGCTATGTAGCAGCATAGAAGGCTCCTGCGAGGGTTGCAAAAGTATATAAAGGAGGTAAACACACATACGAATGTCGTCTATTGCAGGTGCAGTAAATTCTCGAAAGGCTGTAATTCTCACCCTTTATACTGAATGAAAAACACCCTTGCATTCGGAATTGTGATCGATGAAATGTATTAATAGGAAAACAGAACACTTTCTGTAGTCTTCTGCAGAAGTGTCAGCTACAATGATTCTTGGAAGTGTAGTCTCTGTGAAAATTTCTCGAAACACTACAGAAAAGGAATCTCTGTGAATCTTGAGATTTATGTGATACATCATGCGTAAGATGATTGCAAGAAAAGTTACCATGGACTCTTTGCAAGTCGTCAATGAGAGTATTTTCTTTGAAGAGTAAAAAAAAATATATTCGTTGCATAGTGAAATATATTTCATTTTTACCCCTTTCCGCACTGTTCCCGTATATTTTCATGTCTTTTGTTACACAGCATCTCATATGTCCAGTCGCTTTGAACTTGTGAATTTTCATTACGGCTCTTGCATTATATTTTCATCAGCATCTCGATAAGAAGAGCGAATGCTGAAACAAAGGATGCACACAAAAAAAATACATTTTAGTCCAGACATCATGAATAACCAGAGCACACCTATTATATGCAGAAAATAAAAAATATACAATTTCATAAGATTTGAAGTTTAATTAAAACACAAAGCTATTAATTAAAAAAAATGTATTAATTTCATAATTTCACCAAAATGTGTCTCTTTTCATTTTTTTGGGTGAAATATGCATAAAGTCATATGTGCTTCAAACGTCTGACTTGACTTGCCAAGCAAAGGCAAGAAGAAATTGTTTTGAACAAATTTGCAGACAAAATGGTTTCATTAATTAGTGAAAATGTTTTCTCCTAGCCGAAACAATAATTGTTGCAATTTTGTTCAGTATTTGTAAACACATTTAGATGTTTAACGAAGGAACACAAAGGGTATGCGGCACAAACGACTGAGAGCAATGAAACCATATTTATTTAACCATCAGCCTAATTAGGCCACAATCAATTTTCCATCATCAACAGCGTGTACATTAGAGATATTTCGAGGGTCGA